AAATTTCGTTTGCTAAAAAAATGATTAGATAATAGAGCGAGATTTTAGATCTTAGAGACAATTAAATGCTTTATTAGGCCTATTATGACTACTTTTGATTTATTATGGGTGTATTTTGAATCGAATGTAGATCTAAAGTAATTAAATTTAAGTAAAGAAGTAGATTCTAGATTCTATGTCTACCCAGCGGAGCCAGGTATTAGGCCTACTATTAGATCTTATTATTCTTATTAGCCTATTACTTTTGACTTTGTCTTTTACTATTAGTATTTGTGAAGGTCGAGCATATTTGTTTTATTAATAGTTATCTTTTATAATTAAAATGAAGTTTATTATTTTACTGTCCTTACATGAAACAAAGTATCGAGAACTGCATTTGATCAGATTCGGCTACTTTAACTCTAAACGCAAACAGTATTACTAACAGTATTTTTATTTAGAAATTTTGTCCACATATTTATTTATACGAAACTGTCAATAACAGTATAAGGATCTTCAATTCCTAAGAGTTCAAGTTTTTTAACGTATTTTTCCTTTTCCGCGGGTGCGGTTCTTTACATACAGTGAACGCATCCAGCGCTGGTGAACACGTCCAGCGCTGGCGAACAGCTGATTGTGTTTACGTCTTGTGTACACCACTGTGGCGGCGGGCGTAGGTATCACGAACGGACGTGACGTCATATGAAAGGACTCTATTATTAGACAGAGATATTTGTTGCATCTTTACTGCACTGGAATCCCCAAGAATTAATTTTACCATCTTCAGCATACATGGTTTGATGAGATTTTCTCCTTTTTTGTGAGAGGATTTTTGCTTGGCAATTTCTAACACTACTTCATATGATGCTTGCACTAATGCTGTGCTTTCTTGGTGAAAACGTTCTGTTCGATCAAGTCTCTGACGTTTGCAACTAGCTTTATGCCGACGAAAGAGCTACATATCTGTGTGTTCCGAATGACTCGTCTCAAATTGACGTTTGGAAGTTTTCATAGACTCCTGACTAAGAACAACTTTGCACAGTACAAATTGTTTATTCTCTATTCCATTTCCAGTGATGTTAGTAATGCCGAATTTCAATATTTTTCTAAATATTTATGTTTTCTATTCATTGCTAGAGTTTAGTCTACCTTCTTCTTCTTCTTCTTCGTTCTTAATTATTAGTGTTGAAGGGGATCGAGAATTATCTGCCAGTGCGTTTGAACTCGAGACTTTGTTCAAATTTATCAACCATGAGCTTTTTGCCGACTCGACCACGCCTCCAACACAATTAAGCGTTACGTGTCAACTGGTTATGCGCCATTGAGGCCATTGACTCCGATTTCAGCCTGCTTTTCTTTTTGGATTTGCTTACATAGCCTTTGTCCAACCAAGAACTAACTACAAGGCAGCAGTTGTTTAATTTTGGAGTTGTCTCTCCTAGAAGAGTTGCTGTCCCCAGCTAACGAGCCTCATCTGCCCGGGGGTTCGAACTCGAGACTTTTCGGTTTAGCAACCATGAGCTTTACCGACTCGACCACGCCGACCCCTTTAGTCTACCAGTTGGCGACCCCCCAGAAAGCCCTTCGCGACCCCCAAGGGGGGTCGCGACCCCCAGGTTGGGAACCCGTGGCTTATGACAATAAAATGGGTTGATTTTAGAGTTAAATCTACACAAACAGCGGTCTAATTCTGACAAATGAGTCTATGATAGACGCCTTTTGAAAAATGCACAGCACTTGAAAGTTATTTAGTCAGATCGTGAAGTGAAGTTGTAACCAAAATTAAAATAATACAAATGTTTGGCATAAGGTCTACATTCTGAATTAGATCTCACTAGCTAGCATCCAAGACATTATTGACTAGCCTTAGCAATCAATGAAAAACTGCCGGACCGTCTTTGCTTACCCGCCTACACTAGAAAGGTATGAAAGGTGATTTACATTTTTGTTATTGGAAGGGAGGTTTCGGATATTCATTTTTTTTAGGTACATGATATCCAGATCTGGTTATTTGGATTCAAACTCCATAGATTAGTTTCTTAGTTGCCCATTTGGGCCTGGTGAGTAAAAGGGAAATCAAGTAGAGTCCACATACATACAGTGGCGTAGCCAGGATCGTCTCATGGGGGGGGGTAATTTTTTTCCATCAATATATATATATATACATATATATATACATATATATACATATATATACATATATATACATATATATATATATATATATATATATATATATATATATATATATATATATATATATATATATATATATATTCTAGCTGTATGTCATTGCTTCGCTATGATATAAAATAAATTGAAAGTAGTACTCTTAAGAAATAAGAAAAAAACACCATGTGGGCCGACAAAACAAAAAATGTATCACTCTAAACAAAACAAATATATATATATATATATATATATATATATATATATATATATATATATATATATATATATATATATATATATGTATATATATACATACACTACAATCTAAAACTATGAGAGCTACACAATCTGTTTTGTAATCCTTGTAAAAAAAATATACACAATAATTCCGGGGATATTAATTAAGTCAAGCGAAATAGGGTAAATAATCACTCTCTTAATATAAATATGTATATGTCTTCACATTTAATTATAAATGTCAAAACAAATCAATAATTACTTTAGAATGTAATAAAGTCGCTTAACACTATTCGATTATACAAAAACAAATGTGTTGTCTACAATCAGAATTAAATATATTATCACCATAAATGCTAAAGTATTACAGCATAATGAAAGTTTTTGAAATCAGAGATGATATGAAACCACGCTTCTCAATAACATTCAGAAACATCTAGATCTATCTATCTATATATATAACTCTTTTCTTGGAGACGTTAAAAAACACCAAGCTGTTAGCGCGCCTAGCAGTCCCCTCTCTTCCTCTATAGGCATATCGCAACCACCCCCACCCCACATGGTCTGGTGAGCTGTGGTTCACGCTAAATATTTACAATTGTAGAGCCGGGTTTAGTGACGGCTATTAGGGGCAGATAATTTAGTTTCAAACTATTTTAAACTTAGGGGAGGTAACTAAGAGGAGGCTGCTTTCACGGGGGGGGGGGGGGGGATAGGAGGGTTTTAGTGCTTTAAAGCAAATATTTTCAGTGACACCATTGGTACTGTCGAATTCACAAATTATGAATTACTGAAAAGTAGAAAATAAAACAACTAAATAGCGGCGTGTGATACGCCGCGGGTCGGGTCGTATATATAATTCTCTTCATTAGGACTAAAGAAAACACCACGCAGCTTAGCCACCATCCTCATCCCCACCCGTCAGGTGAGCTGTGGTTCACCCCGAATGTTTACAATCGTAGAGCCGGGTTAGTGACGGTCATTAGGGGCAGATAATTTAGTATTAAACGATTTGAGGGGGGGGGGGGAATTCACAAATTATGAATTGTTGATATGTAGAAAATAAAACAACTAGATAGCGGCGTATGCTACGTCGCGGGTCAGCTCGTTCGGAATAATAGCCTACATATAACTAAGCCGATGATGAAAACTGTAATACTAAAGCGAACATGCAAGGCAAACTGAAACTGTAAATTACATGTCTGAGGCGGGAAAAAATGTGCAGTTCAGATCATACATTTTTTTAATTAGCTACTGACTTTTTGTGTTCTTTAAAGATCACTTTTTAACATATTGATAAGGTATGGGTTAGATCACTGAATTGCACGTACACCTTTTTACTGGTAGGCCTAGTTGTAAAAACAATATTCACAGACTTTTACGTTTCAAAAGCTATGATTCTGGCGGCATGGTACTTTGGTACATCATTACGCGTTTTCCCAAAAGTACTTAACAGATCAGTTCGGGGTGGGCTGGGGGGGGGGGAGTGCGTTCAACTTCATTCAACACTGTCCGGTCACTTTAGGTCAATTATCCAACCTAGCGTATACCTAGGTGTGACATTAAAGTCGCTGTACACAATTGTGGTGGTGAGGTGGGGAGGGGGGGGGATAACCAACTCAGAGTAAACATGGCGTCAGTTTTTAGATGACTTTTCTAAACATACATATTCAATTATACATGTATACTGATTCAGATATAGATTTAAATAAATAGCAGTGGTATTAATAACAATTAATAAAAAAAATAACAATTTAAAAATGTACAGAGGGGTCCATGGGGGTGTCCCCCCTAACCACCCCTGCCTACGCCACTGCATATATACATACGCACATACATAAATACATACACACATACATAACCATGTGCGTTCAGTAAGCAACATACAAAAAAGTGTTAAGGGGTTTTTTGGGAGGTCTCGGGGAGCGAACGTGTATGTTGATCATATGATCATTGCTCCTTCTTTTACTAACTCTTATAGAGTTCTCTGGCTAAATTATTTAACACAAAACATTCTGAAATATTTTTAATTTTCAATAGTGTGTATTTTAAAATAGCATTTAATTTAGCCTTTATGTGACTGGTACCACACCAAACCAAATGACTTCTCGGGTGTGGGGGAGGGAGGTGACACCATGAGGTTCTCCATGAACGATTCGCGTGTCCCAAAACTTGACGCCAGATCTATCAACAAAATCCAGAGATGGCCATGTTCAATTTTGTTTCACACACAGTTCAAGTCAATTTTATTTCACACAAAGTTCAAGTCAATTTTATTTCACACAAAGTTCAAGTCAATTTTATTTCACACACAGTTCAAGTCAATTTTATTTCACACACACTTCAAGTCAATTTTATTTCACACACAGTTCAAGTCAATTTTATTTCACACACAGTTCAAGTCAATTTTATTTCACACACAGTTCAAGTCAATTTTATTTCACACGCAGTTCAAGTCAATTTTGTTTCACACACATTAGATATTTGACTTTAAACATACTGCACACATAATGCACACATACTGCTACATACTGCACACATAATGCACACATATTGCTACATAATGCAGACATACTGCTAAAGCTGCTACATATATCTACCTTTTATTTCAGCGGGAAAAACGAACGAGTATTCAAGTTCAGGCAACACGTATAACCCGAGCAATCAGTCAAACCACGGGAACCACGTGAGCTCAGGTCCTCTAGCCGGCTCAGGGCGAACAAACTTTACAAACAAACAACTAACGGAGCTGGAGAAAGAATTCCATTTTAACAAGTACCTAACCCGTGCTCGCAGGATCGAGATCGCTGCAGCTCTAGGACTCAACGAGACGCAGGTCAAGATCTGGTTCCAGAACAGGAGGATGAAGCAGAAGAAACGGATGAGGGAGATTCAGTTTGAGAAGGTCAACGGCGACAGCTGCCAACAGTTGAGCTTAGAGGGGCTAGCGGTACCCAGCATGGCGCTATGTCACGACACAAGATAGTTGGGTTAGGTCACGACACAGTTGGGTTAGGTCACGACACAATTGGGTTAGGTCACGGCACAATTGAGTTAGGTCACGACACAGTTAGGTTAGGTCACGGCACAATTGAGTTAGGTCACGACACAGTTAGGTTAGGTCACGGCACAGTTGGGTTAGGTCACGACACAGTTGGGTTAGGTCACGACACAGTTGGGTTAGGTCACGACACAGTTGGGTTAGGTCACAAGATAGTTGGGTTAGGTCACGACACAGTTGGGTTAGGTCACGACACAATTGGGTTAGGTCACGGCACAATTGAGTTAGGTCACGACACAGTTAGGTTAGGTCACGGCACAGTTGGGTTAGGTCACGACACAGTTGGGTTAGGTCACAAGATAGTTGGGTTAGGTCACGACACAGTTGGGTTAGGTCACGACACAATTGGGTTAGGTCACGGCACAATTGAGTTAGGTCACGACACAGTTAGGTTAGGTCACGGCACAATTGAGTTAGGTCACGACACAGTTAGGTTAGGTCACGGCACAGTTGGGTTAGGTCACGACACAGTTGGGTTAGATCACGACACAGTTGGGTTAGGTCACGACACAGTTGGGTTAGGTCACAAGATAGTTGGGTTAGGTCACGACACAGTTGGGTTAGGTCACAAGATAGTTGAGTTAGGTCACGACACAGTTGGGTTAGGTCACGACACAATTGGGTTAGGTCACGGCACAATTACGTTAGGTCACGACACAGTTAGGTTAGGTCACGGCACAGTTGGGTTAGGTCACGACACAGTTGGGTTAGGTCACAAGATAGTTGGGTTAGGTCACGACACAGTTGGGTTAGATCACGACACAGTTGGGTTAGGTCACGACACAGTTGGGTTAGGTCACGACACAGTTAGGTTAGGTCACGACACAAGATAGTTGGGTTAGGTCACGACACAGTTGGGTTAGGTCACAACACAGTTGGGTTAGGTCACGACACAGTTGGGTTAGGTCACGACACAGTTGGGTTAGGTCACGACACAGTTGGGTTAGGTCACGACACAAGATAGTTGGGTTAGGTCACGACACAGTTGGGTTAGGTCACGACACAAGATAGTTGGGTTAGGTCACGACACAGTTGGGTTGGGTCACAAAATAGTTGGGTTAGGTCACGACACAGTTGGGTTCGGTCCAAAACATTCTATATATATATATATATATATATATATATATATATATATATATATATATATATATATATATATATACATATATATATATATATATTTAAACACACGCTGTTATATATATATATATATATATATATATATTTATATATTTATATATTTATATATATATATATTTATATATATATATATATATATATATATATCGTATATATATATATCGTATATATACATATACTTACATATATATACAATATATATACACACACACACACACACACACACATATATATATATATATATATATATATATATATATATATATATATATATATATATATATATATATATATATATATATATATATATACTTATGTAGGGATCTGTGTGTCAATGCACGTTTTTAATAATATTTTGTTTATTAGTGTCCTTGTATTTGTAGTTTATTGATCGATCCCCAACGATTTTTGAAACACAAAAGATTCTCACCAAATCTAAAACACACTAGCCTATATTCAAAACTGCAAGTGACATTATATCTTTCAAACATTGACCAATTTTTGTCACAAGTTACATCTCGCTGCTTTAAAGTCAAATATCCAGTGTATAATTGCGATTTGTCGTTCATAGCAGCTCATTTGATTGAACATTTTCATTATGAACATTATTTCATATTGTTTGACAGTCTGAGTACGGTTATAGGTGACGTCACATACAGACCTGTTGTGACGTCACATACAGACCTGTACGATAATTAGAAGCCTGTATGAGAATGAGATTATTACAGGGATATCTGATGTTATAGCTGGGATATCTAATGTTATAGCTGGGATATCTGATGTTATAGCTGGGATATCTAGTGGCTGGGATATCTGATGTTATAGCTGGGATATCTGATGTTATAGCTGGGATATCTGATGTTATAGCTGGGATATCTGATGTTATAGCTGGGATATCTGATGTTATAGCTGGGATATCTGATGTTATAGCTGGGATATCTGATGTTATAGCTGGGATATCTAGTGGCTGGGATATCTGATGTTATAGCTGGGATATCTGATGTTATAGCTGGGATATCTGATGTTATAGCTGGGATATCTGATGTTATAGCTGGGATATCTGATGTTATAGCTGGGATATCTGATGTTATAGCTGGGATATCTGATGTTATAGCTGGGATATCTAGTGGCTGGGATATCTGATGTTATAGCTGGGATATCTGATGTTATAGCTGGGATATCTGATGTTATAGCTGGGATATCTGATGTTATAGCTGGGATATCTGATGTTATAGCTGGGATATCTGATGTTATAGCTGGGATATCTGATGTTATAGCTGGGATATCTAGTGGCTGGGATATCTGATGTTATAGCTGGGATATTTGATGTTATAGCTGGGATATCTGATGTTAGCTGGGATATCTGATGTTATAGCTGGGATATCTGATGTTATAGCTGGGATATCTAGTGGCTGGGATATCTAGTGGCTGGGATATCTGATGTTATAGCTGGGATATCTAGTGGCTGGGATATCTAGTGGCTGGGATATCTGATGTTATAGCTGGGATATCTGATGTTATAGCTGGGATATCTAGTGGCTGGGATATCTGATGTTATAGCTGGGATATCTGATGTTATAGCTGGGATATCTAGTGGCTGGGATATCTGATGTTATAGCTGGGATATCTGATGTTATAGCTGGGATATCTGATGTTAGCTGGGATATCTGATGTTATAGCTGGGATATCTGATGTTATAGCTGGGATATCTGATGTTATAGCTGGGATATCTGATGTTATAGCTGGGATATCTGATGTTATAGCTGGGATATCTAGTGGCTGGGATATCTAGTGGCTGGGATATCTGATGTTATAGCTGGGATATCTGATGTTATAGTTGGGATATCTGATGTTATAGCTGGGATATCTAGTGGCTGGGATATCTGATGTTATAGCTGGGATATCTAGTGGCTGGGATATCTAGTGGCTGGGATATCTGATGTTATAGCTGGGAAATCTGATGTTATAGATCTGATGTTATAGCTGGGATATCTGATGTTATAGCTGGGATATCTGATGTTATAGCTGGGATATCTAGTGGCTGGGATATCTAGTGGCTGGGATATCTGATGTTATAGCTGGGATATCTGATGTTATAGTTGGGATATCTGATGTTATAGCTGGGATATCTAGTGGCTGGGATATCTAGTGGCTGGGATATCTAGTGGCTGGGATATCTAGTGGCTGGGATATCTGATGTTATAGCTGGGATATCTGATGTTATAGCTGGGATATCTGATGTTATAGCTGGGATATCTGATGTTATAGCTGGGATATCTGATGTTATAGCTGGGATATCTAGTGGCTGGGATATCTAGTGGCTGGGATATCTAGTGGCTGGGATATCTGATGTTATAGCTGGGATATCTGATGTTATAGCTGGGATATCTGATGTTATAGCTGGGATATCTGATGTTAGCTGGGATATCTGATGTTATAGCTGGGATATCTGATGTTAGCTGGGATATCTGATGTTATAGCTGGGATATCTAGTGGCTGGGATATCTGATGTTAGCTGGGATATCTGATGTTATAGCTGGGATATCTAGTGGCTGGGATATCTAGTGGCTGGGATATCTGATGTTATAGTTGGGATATCTGATGTTATAGCTGGGATATCTGATGTTATAGTTGGGATATCTGATGTTATAGTTGGGATATCTGATGTTATAGTTGGGATATCTGATGTTATAGTTGGGATATCTGATGTTATAGCTGGGATATCTGATGTTATAGTTGGGATATCTAATGTTATAGCTGGGATATCTGATGTTATAGCTGGGATATCTGATGTTATAGCTGGGATATCCAGTGGCTGGGATATCTAGTGGCTGGGATATCTGATGTTATAGCTGGGATATCTGATGTTATAGTTGGGATATCTGAAGCCTAAGCTCGAGATATGGATGTTGTAATAAATTTAGTGGTCAGTATTATAAAGTGGAGTGTATATGACCTATGGGTATTATAACGCAGAGTGTGTTTGACTTATGGGTATTATAATGTGGAGTGTGTATGACCTACTAGTATTATAATGTGAAGTGTGTATGACCTACTAGTATTATAATGTGGAGTGTGTATGATCTATGGGTATTATAACGTGGAGTGTGTATGACCTACTAGTATTATAATGTGGAGTGTGTATGATCTATGGGTATTATAACGTGGAGTGTGTATGACCTACTAGTATTATAACATGGAGTGTGTATGATCTATGGGTATTATAACGTGGAGTGTGTATGATCTATGGGTATTATAACGTGGAGTGTGTATGATCTATGGGTATTATAACATGGAGTGTGTATGATCTATGGGTATTATAACGTGGAGTGTGTATGATCTATGGGTATTATAACCTTGAGTGTGTATCAAACCTTCGTTTATTTGTGCAAGAGTTGAAATGTTTGTATCTTGTATGAGACCGACATACAAGCAGCTAAACCTACAGACAGATACACAAACAGACTGGTGAAGAGGAAATGACCTGTGACGTGTACAAGGAAACCAAATAGCACACGCGGTGTGACGATGTTGGACACGATGGTGAGAACTGAATGGAGAAAATATTTCAGTGTTAGAAAGTTATCTGGCCAATATTCGTGAGTTATCTGGACAGTGTTGGTTATCTGGCAAGTGTTAGCGAGTTATCTGTCAAGAATCTGAAAACACAGTTAAATATCCTGTGCCACAATATAAGTATAAAAACTTGGGTGAAACAGTTTAAGCTTTAAAATGTTTTGTGATTAAAAAAGTTTTCTTTAAAAATCCTGGCCTGTTTTTATTTCAATCTTTTTTTCTGAATATTTGTTGTGGGTTATGTGATATTGGTGTGTGAT